AGAGACGGGGTTTCACCATGTTGACCAGGATGGTCTCGATCTCTTGACCTCGTGATCCACCCGCCTCGGCCTCCCAAAGTGCTGGGATTACAGGCTTGAGCCACCGCGCCCGGCCAAGGCCTGTAATTTTTTAGTTTTAAATTTCATGGGTCGGTGAAGTCCCTGGACTAGATGCTCTTTGGGACCATATTTGGTTCTGCTTTCTGTGGTTTATAGTGCCTGGCAGCAGATATTATGGATGAGTGTCCGGCTATCCAGGAAGCCAGGGGGACAGAAGGCTAATGTGTGGGCCCAGAGTGGGTAGAACCGGGCCCCTGTGGGGCAGAGGGAATCCGACGCTTGGTCTTGCTCTTCCTTCCCTGTCCCGCCTCCCAGGTCTCATCCCACCATCCTGGACATTCCTAACCAGCTCTATTATGAAGGGGAGCTGCAGGCCTGTGCTGACGTTGTTGATCGAGAACGCTTTTGCCGCTGGGCAGGCCTGCCTCGACAGGTGAGTCTGAGCAGGGCAGGGGCACAGGCCCCCACCCCGTACCCTGACTTCCCTCCCACTGAAGGTGCAGCCCCCTCCCTTTGTCACCTTGGCCTGGGATCTCTCATTTTCTGGAAGGGTTGGGGAAGGGAGGGTATAGAGGGTGGTCTGGCTGAGGGTTTCCCCTGACCCCATGTCCAGGGCTTTCCCATCATCTTTCATGGCGTAATGGGCAAAGATGAGCGTGAGGGCAATAGCCCATCCTTCTTCAACCCTGAAGAGGCTGCCACAGTGACTTCTTACCTGAAGCTGCTCCTGGCCCCCTCCTCCAAGAAGGGCAAAGGCCGCCTGAGCCCCCGAAGCGTGGGCGTCATCTCCCCATACCGGAAACAGGTCAGGTCCTTGGTTACCAGCAAGGGTGGGACCCCTCCCCCAGAGGGCACTTCCTTAATATCGCCACCACTAGGCAGAGGCTTTTGGAGCTCGGGCCTCTGCTGCCTCCCTGCCTCAGAAGAGCACCGAGGTCAGCTGCCTTCCCTCTGTTCCCCAGCTCCCTGGCCTCCTGCCAGGCTCCCTCTTGCATTAGGTTAATGGCATGAGAGAAAAGCACCTGTCCCCTCCTTCCAGGTGGAGAAAATCCGTTACTGCATCACCAAACTTGACAGGGAGCTTCGAGGACTGGATGACATCAAGGACTTGAAGGTGACACACTGTTCTACACTCACTCCCTGCCTTCTGTGTGCCCCGACCCGCCCACTTCCAGAGACTTCCTCAAGCTTCCGCTCCAGTCCAGCCCACATCCCCATCCCACCCCTGCTGCCTTGAGTGGAGCTAGAGCTCTCCCCAAGCCTCTCAGTCCTGGAGATTCCAGCCTAAGGGTCTGGAATGCGATCAGGAAGCCTGCATGTTTAACAAGCACCTCCTGTCATTCTTAGACTCAGGCAGATTAGAGGCCTCTGCCCTAAGGATAAAGTCCAAACTCCGTGGCCTGTCATGTGATGCTGTCACCCCGACCCCTCCCCCAGTAGCCTCTTCCTGTAAGGTTGTGGTCTCAGCACTGGGTGCAGATAACAATCACCTGGAGAGCTTTTAATACCACCGCCCCTGCCAGGGCCCCGCCCACCAGCTCATACAGCTATGGGGCAGAGCCAGGGCATTGGGAGTTTTTACAGCTTCTCAGTGATTCTGATGTGCAGCCAGGGTTGAAAAGCAGCTCTTTAAAACTTAGAGGCCTCTCTCTTGGAAATTCTGATCAGAGGTTCTGGGTTAGGGCCCAGGGTTGTATATTCTTAACAGATACTTAGTGGTTATTTTCAGGAAAGTTTGAAAGTCACTGCTCTGAGTCCTGTGGTCTTTGCAATGCTGTTTCCTTTCCGTAGAACACTTGACAGGCTCCCCCCTTGAGCGGAATTCACCCTTCAGGTTTCAGCTCCCACAGCCTACCTCCCATTCCCTTTCTGTCCCCCTTCCCTGGGCAGTGTTTTGGCACTCACTCGTTTACTACACTGATCTACAATTGCCCAGTGACTTCTCTGTACCCTCCTTGGAAGTCAGGCTCCCTGGGGTAGGGCACCCCTTTGACACTCCTGGCTGGTCTCAGGCCCTGCCTCTTCCCCCCACAGGTGGGTTCCGTGGAAGAATTCCAAGGCCAAGAACGAAGTGTCATCCTCATCTCTACCGTGCGAAGCAGCCAGAACTTTGTGCAGCTGGATCTAGACTTCAACCTGGGTTTCCTGAAGAACCCCAAGGTTTGAGGGCTGGTCGGCTAGCAGGAATTCTTCCCTCCTCGGAGCCCTTCCCACCCATGACCACACCACTTCTTCCTTCCAGAGGTTCAATGTTGCTGTGACCCGGGCCAAGGCCCTTCTCATCGTGGTGGGCAACCCCCTTCTCCTGGGCCATGACCCCGACTGGAAAGTGTGAGCATTCCCACCCCATTCTCCCTCTTGGTGGCCATGGCCCCATGCCTACGGCGGATCTTTTTTAAGCACTTGCTTATCGCTCAGTTAATCCTCAGATGTGTCCATTTTCACAGCACCCCTATTGTATATGTAAGTTAAACAACATCCAGAGGTTGAGCAAGTACAGCTCAGATGTGACAGGAGTGAGGCTTAGCCTCCAGTCTCTGCTGGCACTCCTCTGTACCCCACAGATTCCTGGAGTTCTGTAAAGAAAACGGGGGGTATACCGGGTGTCCCTTCCCTGCCAAACTGGACCTGCAACAGGGACAGAATTTACTGCAAGGTCTGAGCAAGCTCAGCCCCTCTACCTCAGGTAAGGCTGGGCTAGGGTGGACCAAGTTGGGGACAGTGCCCGAGGAGGTGGTAAGGAAGACAAAGTGTACTTTCTTTCTTTCCAGGGCCCCACGGACACGACTGCCTCCCCCAGGAGCGGGAGGGTGAAGGGGGCCTGTCCCTGCAAGTGGAGCCAGAGTGGAGGAACGAGCTCTGAAGACTTAGCACCCAGCCTTCTCGCACCAGCCAAGCCTTAACTGCCTGCCTGACCCTGAACCAGAACCCTGTCTCTGAACCAGAACCCAGCTGAGCTGCCCCTCCAAGGGACAGGAAGGCTGGGGGAGGGAGTTTACAACCCAAGCCATTCCACCCCCTCCCCTGCTGGGGAGAATGACACATCAAGCTGCTAACAATTGGGGGAAGGGGGAGGAAGAAAACTCTGAAAACAAAATCTTGTTCTATGCAAAAGCCTTGATACTGTCTCCTCTCCCTGGCTCCAGCTTCCTGAGCCCCCAGGCTGACCCAGTAGGGAAGGGTGGGACTGTCAGCCCTGCACAGGGTCACACCCCCTCCCAGCTGGAGAGGAACCCAGCCCCCACACCCAGGGGGAGGAAACCCAGTGGGAGGTGGCAGGGAAGCCACCCACAGGTTTCTAAGTTTAGCCCCTGCTACAGACCACTCCCCTCACCCGCCTCCTCGGCCCAGAGCCAGGCATGACCTCATCCTTTGCTCTAAGACTCCACCCTGCTGGCCACTGGTCTGCTTTGCAGACAGTGGGCCAGGCTGGCAAGCAACTTGGATATGAAAAGAGGTGGGACACCATGCACCCAGAGGGAAAGACAGGAAGCTGCCACACATGTTAGAGCCTATGGCCTTTATTCATGCCCCCCTGACCAAATGCAGTCAGAGACGAGGCCCTTACCGAAAACAACTCCAGGGGCCTGGGACTCTTGGGACCCCTACCGCAGACACTTTCCTGTGAGCCGGAAGTGTATAAAGTGCTGGTGTATGACCATCCTTTGGGGAAGATTAAAGGGGACACGCGCCCCAGGGGCCCTGAGGAAGGGCAACGCCTGACTCCCAGAGCACTGGGAGGGAGGGCCCGAGCCACCACCTTGGGGCTAGGAAACTTCAATGCAGTCCTGGGCAGGAGGGAACTGAGAAGGGAGCCGTCGGCATGGAGCCTTCAGGAGGCTGGGGTTGTAGGGTGGTAATTTCTGTACCCCTGTGAAGGGAGGGGGCATGTAGGAGAGGCCTTGGGGATCTCAGAGAATGGGACAGCCCCTCCGGCGCTTGTTCTTGCGGACCTGGAGGCCAGCCCGAGTGGCCATCTCAAACACCTCCCGCACTCCCTCCTTGGTCTTGGCTGAGCACTCAAGGTAGCCAAAGGCACTGATCCGGTTCGCCATGTCTCGGCCTTCCTCAGACCGAACAGGCTCCTGAGAAGACAGATGATGAGGAGTCAAAGGAAGCTGATGGCTAGAAGAACCTCTCCCACCTCACCCATAAGTGTAGCGGCTGGAACAAATGCCGCCGCCTCCAGCCCTGACCCAAAAAGCGCCCAGGCCCCAGCTACCCTGGGCAGCTTCTGGACCAGGGATTTAAAATCTCGTCTATTCCCTCCACTCCCATCCAGCCCCGCCACAGTCCCCAGGTCTCCTGCCTGAATGAGCACCTCCTGCCTCCTGACTGACTGCTCTGCTTCCATCCTTACTCTCCTACAGTCAGAATGATTTTCCTTACAGTCAGACCTACCATCTCCCCAGTTTGAAACTTTGCCATAATTATCTGCAGTTCTTATCCTGACAGCTTTCTCTAATAAACTCTAGTCCTCTGGCTAGAGAGCCACTTACAGGTCCCTGAATAAACCAGCTCTCTCACCCCTTCTTCCAGCCACTTATACAATGCCCACCCTCACTCCCACATCAGGGGCACTATGATGGCACAGCCTGGGTACTCCAAGTGAAACAAGCTGTCTCCCCGAGGGCCGATTTTCTTAATCATCTTAATAGTCCCAATTCTAAACAGAATGGACCATTAGCTGGAATAAATAAAAATGCCAAGTGACTTTGGACAAGTCACTTCACTCTGATACATCATCAGATACTGATGACACAACCGTAGGAGTCCTCCCTCACCAGGAGAGATCACCATCTCCCCTAACACAGCAGTAGCTGGAGAGAAGCTCCCTTTGCCCGTCTGCAACCCCTCAGAAGATGCCTTCCACCCCAAGGGCTCCCGCCCGGCAGCCGCACCCACCTGCTTCATCTTGGCCAGCTCTCTCCTGGTGTGCTCATCTTGCCTCAGGTCCTTCTTATTCCCCACTAGGATGATGGGCACGTTGGGGCAGAAGTGCTTCACCTCTGGGGTCCACTTCTCTGGAATGTTTTCTGTGCAGACATGCCCCAACAGGTGTCGGTGCCTTCACTTAAGCTAGAAAGCCCCCCTGGGTGGGGCTGGGGGGCTGATCTTCCCATAGCAGAGTCTTAGAAGCCATTCAGCATGAGGTCCCTTTCACAGCTCAAAACCTCAACAACACTATGCCCTTGGAGGGCCAGATATCACAGTAAAGGAGACCAATGGGGCCTGAGTGTTCCCCTGCATCCCCGCCCCCACCTCTGAAGTTAACTGAAGACAGGCCAAGGCATGAGACCTCTGGCTGATTCCAAGGGTTCTCAGTCCCCTCCCGCAATCCCCTCACCCAGGCTGTCGGGGCTGTCAATGGAGAAGCACATGAGGATGACATCAGTGTCGGGGTAGGAGAGAGGCCGCAGTCGATCGTAGTCTTCCTGTCCTGCTGTGTCCCACAGAGCCAGCTCCACCTGACACACAGGGCCAGTGAGTAGCTGGCCTGAAGGCCCCAACCCTGCCACCCAAAGGTCCTCTGAAACTACTGTCCTTCAGGCTCACTGAACATCTGTATTGAGCACCTGCTATGTACCAGGCATTGTGTTCATCCCTGTCCCAAAACACAAATGAGGTCAGTTTGTTAAAGAAATCTAAGACACGTGTTTGACCCTTGAGTTGCCATTGTGAGGATCATTATTTTGGTTAATTCTCACAACAACCCTTTGAGGGAGGTCTTACCATCATCCCCATTTTGCAGGTGGGGGAGCTTAAACTCAGAGGCAAAGGGATTCAGCCCAGGTTACAGAGCCAGTCAGTCTGTGGGAGAACCCGAAAGTATATCCTGTTTTTTTAAGACTGCAGATTCACTCCCTAACGTTTACTGGTCCCAGCAGGGAGAAGGAAGCAAGGACATGGGTAGGAGTGGGGAAGGACGTACTAGGTCATAAGTGACGGGGGGCGGGGGCGGGAGGGGCTCTCTGCCTTCACCTGTTTGCCGTCCACTTCAATGTCCGCAATATAGTTCTCAAAGACAGTAGGCACGTAGACCTCTGGAAACTGGTCCTTGCTGAAGACGATGAGGAGGCAGGTCTTCCCACAGGCACCATCCCCAACGATCACCAGCTTCTTTCGGATCGCAGCCATGGTAGGGCTGCCAGACGAGAGGCATTGGGGATTTGAGGAAAAGCCATTAAGTCCAAAAACACTTCTCCAGGGCCCCCCAAACCTCTCTGGAAACTGAGGCACCTAGCAAAGGGGCGGAGGGCTTGCTCAGGCATGTTCTCGCCAAGAACCAATTGTGGGGGCAACAGACCTTAAAATTCCTAAACTCTGGGTCAGGGACAGGTCTCCCTCGATGGGTTAGGAAACAGCGGTGGGAGGTGGAGGATGACCCCACTCGGGGGCTGGAAAACATGAGTTTCAATCTAATCCACTCGCCAACCTGGGGACTCCAGGTACCCAGAGAGCCGCTCAGGGATGTGGGACACCCAGGAAGCGATCTTCTATCTACTTCACACATCAGGGTTTCGAGTCAGACTTCATTTGTTACCAGGATTTTGATGCATCTACCGTTTAATAATCTCTAAGGTCCAGTCTAGAACAGACTGTCCCTCAGCACAAGTCATACCTGCCCGGTCACAAATGAGGAGTCCCTCTCTAAGACTACAGAGTAGCAGAACCAGCTACCAGGTGGTGAGCAGATAAGGGAAGAATAGTTATAGAGCCCCTAGGTGCCAGGCACCCTGTCGGGCATTTTGGCAGAAATCATCTCCTTTGGTCCCTAGACACCTGGAAGGTAGGTGGTGCACTTTCCATTTTGACAAACTAGGAAACTAAGGCTCAGTGAGGTTAAGACACAGATTCAGAGCCGTGGCTTATAAGCGGCAGGGATAGTATCCAAAGCAGGACTGTGTGACTCAAAGTAGGACTGTGTGACTCAAAGCAGGACAGTGTGACTCAAAACCGTGCCTCTTCAAAATGTCACCTCAGCGGTGAGCAGGAGAGCAGAAGCAGGGAAACCCAGACAGAGGACAGCTAGCCGGCTTCCCTGGCCCACCCCGCCCGGTCCCCAGAGCCCCAAGTCATACAAAGGAGGCTCAGTCCCGGCAGTGCCCACAGCTCAAGTTTGGGCAGCCTGCCTTCCTCCCCCCTTCCTCCTGGGCCTGCCAGCAACACTGGGTCACTCAGCCCCCGGCAGGGGACAATGATCACACTGTAGGGAGCCACGCATCCACCACAGCACAGCAACTGAGAAGCATCCACCAGGAATCACCTCCACCCACTCTGGAACAGCCCATTCCTCCTTCAGTCCAGCTCACCCGTGGGCCCTGCCCACCCCTCCCTGTGACTCAGGGCAAGGAGTCAGCTCCCCGGGCTTCCATGTGTCCCACGCCCCTAGCACACACGGACAAGCATCTGCACAGTTCATCACACCTTCGAGGCTTCCCTCACTTCCTCCTTCCCTGGGGAGGGGAGCTGACCTGCAGCCGGCTGAAGTTCCCAGGCTGCAGGAAGAGAGGGCGGGCTCTGGAGCTGAGATGAAGTCAAGGCTGTTGGGAAGGGGGAGGGGGCTAGAGTCTGGGCTGGGAGGAGCCCCAAAAGAAGAGACAAATGAGGGCCAGCCCCAGCACCAACCAGGCAGGGAGCAGTGGAGAAAGCGCCGGTAACCTGATCTGCCCCAAACGCAGCTTTTTCTCTCAGTCCCACATCCTGTCAAACTGGGCTGAGCTCCTCTACGGCCGATACCCCCCCCACCACCTCACACTGCCCTTCGGGAAGAGAATACTCCAGCCCCAGGCCTGTTCCTTCAACAGTAGATCCTGGGTGGCCCTTCCCTTGCCTCCACACACATTCACAAAACTCGGATGTTGGTTAGTGGACATAAGGCAGAGAATTTACAGGAGTTCAAAGTACACAGCCGCACTTTTTCCACCACAATGAGATTCTCATTCTCATTCTCTCTCTCCCTGATTTCCCAGAAGACAGGCAAGAAGGCATTCACCCTGCCAGCCGATCGCCTCCAGAAATGGAAAACATCCTCCAAAAGAGGGTTCCTGGGAATTCTACCCAGATGACTGACGCCAGGATTTCTTCCAACTCCTCCACCCACTCCCAGTAGTTCACCTTGCCCTGTTATGTAAGGATGCGCTGGGGTAGCCCCAACCTGGGGTAGGCAGTGCTGATGGCGGGCCATCACTACTGGGGTGAAAGCCAGTCACAGGTATGAGTATGCCACTGCTGTCCCACCAACAGGGTAATTCAGATGGTACCAGACTGGTAGGAGGCACAGGACAGAAAGCCGGTGAAGGGCCCTGCAGCCTCCAGCTCAAGTAGAACACTTTCCCTCCAGGCTACGGTTGGGCCACAAGCGCAAGCGGCCCAGGCCAGGCCAGTACACTAGGCCCAAGGCCAAGATGGCACGGACAACTCCCTATGAGACGCAGCCCCGGAGGGACTGTCCCACTGACCCCTTAAGAGGGGCAACCGAATCCCACACAGGGCCTGGAATGGAGCCTGGAACTTCTGGGGCCTTCCCCAAGACAAGACAGTGTGGAGACACCAGACCTCTCTCCAATCACTCTCTTGAATTCCCAGAAGATCCGGTTGCCTTTGCCGACCCACCCCAAACCTAGGGAAGGAATCGTTCTGGAGATACCAGGAGATACCGCATTCTCAACTTTAAAACCAGAGTGAGGGCGGAACTAGACCTCGGGACCCCAGCCCCAAACCCCAGGATACACTTTCTTGGTTCTAGTATGAAGGAAAAGGAAGATTCTCATTCTCATTCTCTCACTCTCTCACTCACACACACACACACACACACACACACACACACACACACACACACGAGTTGGATCCTTCCCATCTCCCTTATCCTCAACACAAGCGGGCTCCAGGAACCGTCTAGGGCGGCGTTCAGCCCCGGCCGAACAGTGGCAGGTCCCAGCGGTCACATCCCGCCCCTATTCCCGCCAAGCCTCCCTCCTGGCCTGGACGAATTCCCACCCCATCCCACCCCAGGTCCCCTGCGGCCGCCCGCCCTGGGGGCTGGAGCGTCGGAGCGGAGGCTCCCTCGCCCTGCGCCCTGCGGGCAAGTTCCGGGAAGCCGGGAGGAGAGGGGAAGGGGCTGCGACTCGGACCCCCGGAGCCCCCGCGAGCAAGTCCGCGGCCCCCACTGCAGCTCGGGGAGGGGCCGACGCGGCCCGACCCCCGCCCGACCCGGACGCCCACTCCGCGCGGATGGAACGGGGTCCACGCCCGGGCCGAAGCCCCCTCCCCGCCCGCGCCCTGATCTCCGGGTGAGCGAGAAAGGGAAAGTGCTCTCTCGGGCCGAGTTCCCAGCGCGCCCCGCCGCCCGCAGCCCGGACCCGGGGTACCTTCCGCTGCGCCGCCTCCAGCTGCGCGGCCGGTGCCGGAGGCTCGGACTGACCCCGGGGCGCGCCCCGCCCTCCTCCAGCGCCGCGGCGGGGAGGGCGGTTCCGGCAGGGGGAGGGTCGGCCGGGGACGGCCCTCGGCTCGGCCCGCCCCGGGCCCGCGCAGGGCCGCTGGGGCTCGTCCCCTCCGCGGGCCGGGGGCGTCTGTCCTGCCAGGTCGGGGAGAGCCGCGGGGAGGTTCCCGGACTGCGGAGGCGCCGGGCGAGCGGGGCAAGCCGGACCCGGGTGGACTCAGCCCCCGCCCAGCCTTCCAGCCCCTAGGGAAGGACCGGCGTCGGGAAAGTTGAGAGAGGCTCGGGGTGGGGTCAGGAAGGGCCGCTGCTGCCCTCCTGTGGCCGAGCGGCCACCGCTCCTTCCCGCACCTGGGACCTCGCGGGAGGCGGGGCTGGGAAAGGGCGGCCGGGGACGCCCCAGGGGCCCGCGCGGTGGTGGGGGTTGGCGGGGGGATGTCCACCCTCTTGCTCCCGGAATCGCTGCCGAGTAAGTACAGCTCAACGTCATCCCCCAGACTTGAAGACCTTCCAGAGCCGTTCAGACCCAGACCCCCGTTCCTCCTCACAATGTCCTTTCTTCCCCGGGCCTGGAATTTCCAGGAATCGAATTCCTACCTACTCCTCAAAGGGTGCTACTAGAAATGCTTCCCGATCCCAGTTGGGAATTCTGTTCCCACTCCTACATCTGACTTGGCGCATAGGATATTTACCTATACGCGTATCTAAGGGAGCTGAGGAGGTGGCAATAGAATGAGCACGTCCACCAACATTTTATTGGCTCGTGCTTGGGACACACACAGCTCAACCCTGTCAATATTCATCACAGATCTTTGGGGTAAGTATACCCATCCCCTTTTGCCTGTAGGGAAGTCGAGGCTCAGAGAAATCAAGCGGCTTACCCAAATGTTTTTGACTTGTGACAGCAAGAATTCATACAGCCGAGCCTGTCTGGCTCCAAACTGGTGGTCTAGCTCTGCTACTTCCCAGGCTCCTCCAGCCCGTCACTTCCCCGGTTGTCTAGCACAGTGAGTGGCACACAATAGGTTGTCAACAAATATTTGATGAATGAGTGAATGTTAGGAGTCATACAGACTTTAAATATCTGAGGTACTATCCAGACATTTGACAAATGTGAAAACTGAGGTCCACAGCAGTTTGATTCCTCTTAACTGGCTCAATAAATCCTTGAGGGTGAACTGAGAGCTATGTTCCGAAGATCCATTTCTGCCTTCAAACAACTTAGAGTCTAAATGAGGAATACAGACCATTTCAAGATAGCTAACATTTATTGAATACGTATAACATGGACCTGGGTCCACATACATTACAACAATCCCATGAGGTAGCGGTCTCCATTTTACTGAGAAGCAAATTGAAGTTCACAGAGGTTACAGAGCTAGTGTTGGGTCTGACACCATAACCTAAACAGCTGAACTCTAGAGTCCCTGTTCTTGTTGCTCCCAGCTGACTCCTAATGTAGACAGTTATAATACAGGAGGTCACTGCTGTACTGGGGGGCATGTGTGGGCTGTGGGTTACCCAGTCCTGAACAACAGGTGAAGTTTTCAAGATAAGGTGATATGTAGATTTATTTTATTTTATTTTTTGAGACAAGGTCTCTGTTGCCCAAGTGTGCACTGGCAAGATCTCGGCTCACTGTAGCCTCAACTTTCCAGGCTTAAGTGATTCACCTACCTCAGCTTCCACCACACCTAATTTTTGCATTTTTTGTATACATGGGGTCTTGCTATATTGCCCAGGCTAGTGAGGGGCCTTTTCTAATTAACTTATTTTGCTGATCTTTATTTTTGCTTCCCTTTGCTTACTTTGGGTTTAATTTGCTGTTCTTTTTCTGGCCTCTTAAGGTGGAAACACAGATCACCAATTTGAGATCTTTTTTTTTTTTTTTTTTTGAGACGGAGTTTCGCCCTTGTTACCCAGGCTGGAGTGCAATGGCACGATCTCAGCTCACTGCAACCTCCGCCTCCTGGGTTCAGGCAATTCTCCTGCCTCAGCCTCCTGAGTAGCTGGCATTACAGGCACGCGCCACCATGTCCAGCTAATTTTTTGTAGTTTTAGTAGAGACGGGGTTTCGCCTTGTTGACCAGGATGGTCTTGATCTCTTGACCTCGTGATCCACCCGCCTCAGCCTCCCAAAGTGCTGGGATTACAGGCGTGAGCCACCGCGCCCGGCCCCAATTTGAGATCTTTATTCCTTTCTACTACAAGCAATACTCTTAATTTCCTTGGATGCTTAACTGCTTCCCAGAGACACTCACCACTACACCACCTATTTTTTTATTTCTTTGTAGAGATGGGGTCTTGCTATTGCCCAGGCTGGTCTTGAACTCCTAGGCTTAAGCAATCCTCCCACCTCTGCCTCCCAAAGTGTTGGGATTACAGGTGTAAGCAACCATGCATGGCAGTAGATTTTGAGTAAGTTGTAGCTACTAAAAGCCCACAGGTATGCGAATCCCAGGAAGCTGGCAGTGGTGGTGAAAAATGAGGCTGAAGAAGGAAGCAGTGGCCGGATCATGAAGGTCCTTATATGCCTTGCACAGAAGTTGAGTGTTGATTTTGTTCTACGTGCAATAAGGAGCCGCCAAATTTAGGAGGCTGATGTAGTAAACGTGGTGGTGACTGGAGGTAGGGAGAGGTGGAGATAAGTAGAAATATATTTTTAAAGGTCTATAGTCAACAATACTTAGTGATCAATTACCTTGATGGGAAAGAAATGAACGCCAAGGGTGACCAACTCCAAGATTTCTGACTGGAGCAGCAGAGCTGGTCCCACTGAGAGGATACACCAGGAGAAGGAAAATGTTTTTTGTGTTTTTGCGTTTTTTTTGAGATGGAGTTTCACTCTTGTTGCCCAGGCTGTAGTACAGTGGTGCGATCTTGGCTCACCGCAATCTCCGCCTCCCGGGTTCATTCGATTCTCCTGCCTCAGCCTCCTGAGTAGCTAGGATTACAGGCACCCGCCCCCACAGCCAGCTAATTTAGTATTTTTAGTAGAGACGGAGTTTCTCCATGTTGGTCAGGCTGGTCTCGAACTCCCGACCTCAGGTGATCCGCTGGCCTTGGCCTCCCAAAGTGCTGGGATTACAGGTATGAGCCAAGTGGTGAGTTTAGTTTGAGGTATGTTGAATTGAAGTGCCAACAGGCTGTCCAGGAGATGTTCGGGAGACGACTGGAATGTGTATTAAGGCACAGGCGGGTCTGGGCAGATGAGTGAAGCCACAGAAGTGGACAACGACAGTCACAGCAAATGCATGGAGTGGAAAGAGTGGAGGGTGGAATAAAGACCATGGGGATACCACATTTTTAGGGCTCTTCTGGTGCTCTTTCCACCACCCCACAGAGCTCTTATCTTTCAGTTTCTAGCCAAAGCAAATAAAGACACACACCTTTATCCATCTGGTTTATTTGCCAATAGCTGTAATTTTGGATATAGCGGACATCCCTTCTTCAGTTAAATTGCCACTAAAGAAGGGTCAGGAAGACAACTTCCAACTTTGGGCGGGGAGAGGAGTATGGAGAGGCTGGGATGGTGGTGGGAGGGGTGGTGTTCAGCCCCTCAGGAGTAACTGCCTGGCCCTCCCAGAGGGATGACGAAGACAGAGATGTCATCCCCGGAACCCAGCTTGTTGTTGGGGAGACGCCAGCCACGGTCCCGGGGGCTGCCCCGGGCCCCCAGGACCAGAGCTTGGGCCAGAGCTGTATACCTGCCAGGAGCACACATGCACATTCATGTACCAACATGTATGTGGGAAGACATACACAGGCCCACATGTGGGTCCCAAGCATTGCTTCCTTTGACCCTTCCTTCACCAATGCCAACCCCTTACCACCATGCCATGCAGCCCCTACCTGCTGTGGTCATTGGGCTCATAGGCCGACAGCACCCTGTCCACAGTGGCGGCTACTTCGCGGTCAGTGGTGACATCCCACAGGCCATCTGTCCCCAGGACCAGCACATCATCCGGGCAGTGCTCATATTGTGTTAGGTCGTATACTCGTACCTGGTGGGGGAAAAGGGCACAGACGATGGAGGTGTGGGGTTTGCTGGACAGGGAGCTTAGGAATAAAGGGACTGCAGATGAAAGCCAGCCCGAGAGCCCCAGAGGAGGCAAGGTGTGATTTAAGGGGGCCCCAGTATGGCTCACCTCAGGGAAGCAGGAGAGAAAGGGCTTGATGGGCAGGGTGGAACTGCAGACCTTAAGGTTGTGGTCTCCCAAGCCTCGGGTCACCCCAATGGTGGCCATCACCCGAGCCTGAAAGAAATGAGGAGGGAGTGCCACTATAGTCCTCTGCCACATTCTCTGAAACCAGAGATCCCTTCCACCCCTACCCTCAGGTAGAACCTCCACCTCCCTAGACAAGTTGTGATGGGTCCTCCTGCCCTCTCCCACCTCTACCATGGAGTTTACCTTTTTGCCCTCCCCACAGACCAGAGGAAACCTGAGATCCTCCAGCTCGATCTTTTTGTAGGCCCTGGGGAAGGGGAGTAGAGGAGGCATCACCCAGGCATCAAAGCCCCTCTCCCCTTGGAGCTGCGCACCCTCGCACAAACCCCTTAGAAGGGCCACATCCCCCCATCTCCCAGTCTGGCCCAGCCTCCAGCTTCCACCTTGCTGCTGGTGAGGGACTGGTTGTATTGCCATGGGAATGGGCCCCAGCTCTGAGGGAAGCGTTACCAGCCGGTCATGTTCTGGTCCCGATACAGCATCCTCTGCCCCAGCTCCTTGGGCAGAACTCTTCGGGGGAACTCAAGGTGGGTGAATTCACTGCCTAGCAGCTCCGGTTTCAGGAAGCCCTGGAGTTGGGGATGGTCAAAACAGGGGGCCAGGGGCATTATGCTCACAGCACACATGCTGGTATGTAGGTGATGTTAACTACAGCAGACCCTTAAATAGAGTTTACCATGTGCCACACATTATTCTAATATGAGCAAATACTAATTTACTCCTCACAACAGCCTTTAAGGCAGGAACTACTAATGCACAGAGAGGTTAAGGGAGGGAATTGCTGAGGTCACACAATTAGCAGGG